GTCCCTGTCTGATGCATGATGTTGCTGCTCCTGGTATTTATTACAATTTCTCTTCTTAGAGGTGAGAAATTCATTATTTTTTCCTCTTGACAATCTGAATTGGTCAATTACTATTATTATTATTAATAATATTAATATTCAGCAATTATTACTATTATTATTATTAACAGAGAATGCTGGTGAAGAAGTGTTAAGACCACTCTTCAAAGAAAAACATGTTCTGGAAGGAGATGTTGTTACACTGATCTGCAGCTACTCTGGAAATGTTCTGAATTTGCAGTTGTACCATCAGTTTCCCGGATCTAAACCTGAAAATATATTTCTTTACTTTGAGAACAAGCCACAAACTGAGGGCCGCATGACTGCTGCATCTGATAAAGCAGTCAAACACATGAATCTGACCATCACTTCTACAAAAGTGAAAGACTCTGCTGTGTACTACTGTGCCCTGCAGCCCACAGTGACAGGAAACACAACTACACTGTACAAAAACTGCAAGAGCAGTTTATGACAGAAGATGATGGCAGCACGGTGGTGCAGTGGGTAGCACAATCACCACACAGCAAAAAGATTGCGGGTTCAAGCCCCGGCTGGGTCAGTTGGCATTTCTGTGTGGAGTTTGCATGTTCTCCCCATGTTTGCGTGGGTTTCCTCCGGGTACCCACAGTCCAAACCCATATGGTACAGGTGAATTGGGTAAGCTAAATTATCCATAGTGTATGTGTGTGAATGAGTTTGTAAGGATGGATGTTTTCCAGCGATGGGTTGCAGCTGGAAGGGTATCCACTGTGTAAAACATATGCTTGATAAGTTGGTGGTTCAATCCGCTGTTGCGACCCCAGATTAATAAAGGGACTAAGCTGAAAAGAAAATGAATGAAAGAATGACAGAAGATAACTCAGTTAAAACTAAACAAAGTGAACACTAAACTAGGACTAGACAGACAACAAATTGATTTATTGTATTGCGGTATAGTACTTTAGGTATTTTTAAGTAAAATTCAATACAAATAATTTTGTACAATTTACAACATCAGACAGTCCCTGTTAAGCAGAGGTATGGCCAGAAGGTGGAGCTCACATTTCAGTTTTCTCAAAATGGGGTGCACATATAAACAGAGTCAGAGAGGAGGAAACTCTAAAAGGCTTTTTAGTCTCGTGTTGATGATGTTGTTCCTGGCCCTCCTGATATTTACTCTTTTAAAAGGTGAGTGATCAACAGAAATATAACCACCTTTTCAAAGCACAAATAAATCCACTGTTTATATATGATTTATAAAATGTAATTTTCTTAATGATTGCTTTTTTTAATAGAGACTGCTGGTGAGGAAGTGATATCATCACTGTCCACAGAACAGATTGTTTTGGCCGGAAAAAATGCCACACTTTCCTGCAAATACAATGGCAATGTTTACAGCTTGCAGTGGTATCGACAGTATCCCGGATCCAAACCTGAGAATATCATTTATCACACTGAGAGCAACAAGCAGTCTCACTCCAGGCTTCGTCTGCTCGCTGTGACTGAGAAAGGAATGAAACGTATGAATTTGAGCATATTTCATACAGAGATGGAGGATTCTGCTCTTTACTACTGTGCCCTGGAGCCCACAGTGACAGGAAACACAGAAACACTCAACAAAAATTGAATGATGTGGATCAGTATGCACAATGCAGAGTTTAAAGCTCACTCTCTAGTGGACAATGAACTTCTGCATATTTTTATCAAATCTAAAACTGTGCCTAATAGGCCTGTCACAATATTCAATAAAGCGACTTATCGCACAAAACATGGACACAACCTCAAACATCTTTGGTGATGCAAAATATAATTGCCCATGCATAAACCAATTCCTGCAACATTTTAGCTGATTGTGCATCACCTTTATTTCTATTGGAGTTGTCAGTTTAAAAAAAAAAGATAAAAACACTACAGTATTAACAATAGTATATTTTTGTGGCTCTCTGACAACTGAAAATAGATCTGGCAGCAGATATCGCAGCCTTGTTTACTTATTATACCTTGCACTTTTTTGTTAACATTTATTATTATTTATTTGTTTAAAACATACATTTTCACATTTTGATTTCAATGACCAATTATTAAATCGTTAAAATGACTATTATTAAAATGAACATTTTTTAACTATAAAATATTGTGTTCTTTGGAAGAGTGTACTTGCATTATGAAACTATTATATTGTCATTCTGGCATTATATAATGAGTGGGATAAAATGGTCTTATATGGTTTATTACAATATATTTCAGTGCATTATATAGTACAACAAAAAAAGATATGGTGATGGGTCTAGTGTCTTGATTCTCTAAAATATCAGCCATTGCAATAACGTTACCTCATAATACAGATATGAGAGACAAACTAATGCTTGAAACATTCAAAATCTGCATGATTCCAGTGCAATTTTGATATAGCATTGTATCTTATAGAACCAACAGACCATTTTTAGTTTGTAAACTAAAAGCTTATTCACAATCTGTATGTACCTGTATGGATAAGAATGGGGCAATGAGTGGGAGGAGCTTGATGTTTTATCTTCAGCAGAAATCAAAAAGACAACACTGACTTTCTTTCACACAGACACTGAAAGAAGCCACAGAAAGACAACTCAAACTACAGCAAGATGTTACTCATTACGTTGGTTTTCATCCATTTGATCTTCAGCTACTGTAAGTACTTTTAGTCCAACACACTTCACACCACATTCCAAAAATATCTCTAAAAAATACAATTCATTTTATCTAGTCTAAACAAATCCCTTGCATTGTCTTTCCAGGTGACTCTAATGGTGATATTATTAGACCAGAGCAAACATCAGTAGTTGTAACTGACGGAAGCAGCATCACTCTGTCCTGCACATATGATGAATCAGCCTACAGTCTCCACTGGTACCGACAGACACCTGGATCAAGACCAGAGTTTCTGCTGCTGATAGATGAATCTTCAAAGTACGTCACCAAAGCTGAACAACCTCACCCACATATGTCCATCCAACTTCAGAACAACAAACGTGTAAATCTGATCCTCTCATTCGCTGCTGTATCAGATTCTGCCGTTTACTACTGTGCCCTGCAGCCCACAGTGACAGGAAAGTGGTCTACACTCTACAAAAACCTGTTTCTTGCATAAATCATATTTCTATAGTAAAAAGGGGGATCTTCATGCAGTGTCTCAGTCTTTTCTTTCTTTGCTGTATAGTGTTGTGTTTCTCCATCTTTTTCATAAAACATTAGAGCCCCATTGACTTGTTTATTATTGTTCATTTGTAGTTCAGTTTATTTTTTGGCTACTGTTTTTGACAAAGACAAAGTTACGGTCCAGTAGGCATGTAAAGTAACCAGCTTGCTTTATTCCATGTTATATACAGGGGTGTGAAAAATATAATATTGATAAGCCTACAACAGAATGGCGTGTTAAACTCATAAAAAAGCAATGTAAAGTAAATATGTCGTTAACTAAACCTAGAAAATCCAAACTCTTAAAAACAAAAGCCTCTTAAAAGATCCATCCAGGGTCATTTTTATTACCAAAAAAAGTTCTTGAAAGTGGAAAAAAAAAGATCTTTATGCGATTAAAAAAAGTCATCCACATATATAAAAAAAAAATATATATATTTTTTTTTTTATTACTATTATTATTATAATTTAGTACAGGGAACAATTGAGTAATCTGAAAGATCTTTTTCCACTTTCAAGAACCTTGTGTGAATGTGAAGGCCTAACAGACGGCTTGGAGAAAGAGGTAGATATAGCACAGGTGTCAAGTTAGTGTAGCTTCAAAAAATATTTTAAACTGATGTTTCACTGTACAGAAAGGCAGTTTCTTTTAAGGTCATTGGGGGAAAAAAAACGTTCAAATAAATTAAAGATAATAGTATGAAAAAAAAAACTTCCTTTGAAACTAATTTATTCACAATCAGATAAGAGTTTGACATCAGATTACTGTATAAAAAGACTGCCTGTGCACATAATATGTTGGTATCAAATATACATAATTGACAACACAATTTAAGAAGGAAATTCTAAGTAAAGTATATATACAAACTAATTTCAAGAGGATCACATACTTATTATTGGCCATGGCTAGTCCTGCATTATTGCATGATTCACCAATCTGATGATTCTTAACTTACTATAAAAAAACAGAGTTTAAATGTTCTAGCCATGCTCACGTGAGCTTCCCCCGGGCCCCCCAGTTTCCTCCCACCATCCAAAGGCAAGCGACATAAGTTAATTTACTAATCCAAATTGGCACCATATGTGCTCCAAGTCAGCAGTTATCTCTTCGTAGTGAGTCCTATTTAGTCATTAGCTCTATACAGCAGGGAAGTTCCTGAGATCTACCTGAGCTCAAACTCACCCTGCAAATGGAAGGGAGCCCTGGGCTCGAGGATCTGATGAGCTCTGGGCTCTCTACTAGGACAGCATGCCAAACGCTTTATAAATCAATCATCTGCTAAATGTGAACTCTTGAAATAAAAAAAAAGTAAAAAAAAAAAGTAAAAAAAAAAAAAAAAAAAGAGTTCCTTCTGTTGGTAGAAAGAGCAGGTTAATCCTGTAACTTTCTTTAACTGACCACAACTCTTACTTAATATTTTGCAGAAATATTAAGCATGTCCTTTATTACATAATCAAACTGTAAAAAAAAAATTGCTATTACGGTTTTCAATGAATCTATTGAATTTTATAACTAAGAACAGTCACATTCACAAGCTTGCTGGAACATATTTTATTAACAAGTTAAACTAAATAAGCCGATGGTCAAGTACAAAAAAGTAACAGTTGTTTTTTTTTGCTGCATCTGATAATAATGAGGTATTGAAGTAAATGTGATCTCACATGCATTCTGCCAGGAGGTGGAGCTCTAGGAACAATCAAGAACAACTAGTTCAACTGTTTAAATACAGAGCAGAGACTCATTGAGTCAGTTATACTCTTGGAGTGAAAGTTTTGACTCTCAAAGTCACAGTCTTGTATTGGTGATGATGTTGCTCCTGGTATTGACTATATTTTATCTTCTAAAAGGTGAGTAATTAGTCATTACAGTGGACATTATTTATACTGTTCAAAGAGAAACATGTTCTGGAAGGAGATGTTGTTACACTGATCTGCAGCTACTCTGGAAATGTTCAGAATTTGCAGTGGTACCATCAGTTTCCCGGATCCAAACCTGAAAATATATTTCTTTACTTTGAGAACATGTTTACAACTAAGAACCGCATGATTGCTGCGTCTGATAAAGCAGTCAAACACATGAATCTGACCATCAGTTCTGCAGAAATTACAGACTCTGCTGTGTACTACTGTGCCCTGCAGCCCACAGTGACAGGAAACACAACTACACTGTACAAAAACTGCAAGAGCAATTATATTTACGACAGAAGATGATAAAGTTAAAACTAAACATATAAAGTGAATACAACTAGTACTAGATAGACAACAAATTGGTGTATGGTATTGCTGTAGAATAATTTAGGTAGATTTAAGGCAAATTCAATATAAATAAATAGGTTTTTACAACATCAGACAGCCTCAGTTAAGCAGGGGTTTTGCCAGAAGGTGGAGCTCACATTTCAGTTCTCTCAAAACAGAGAGCACATATAAACAGTCAGTGAGGAGGAAACTAACTCTCAACTCTAAAGACCTTTTAGTCTCATGTTGATGATGTTGTTCCTGGTCCTCCTGATATTTACTCTTTTTAAAGGTGAGTGATCTAAAGAAATATAACATCTAAATTAAGACGCATATAAATCAACTGCTTATATATAGTTTATAAAATGTAATTTTTTAATGATTGCTTTCTTTTTTAATAGGGGATGCTGGTGAGGAAGTGATATCATCACTGTCCACAGAACAGATTGTTTTGGCTGGAAAAAATGCCACACTTTCCTGCAAATACAATGGCAATGTTTACAATTTGCAGTGGTATCGACAGTATCCCGGATCCAAACCTGAGAATATCATTTTTCACACTGAGAGCAAAAATCAGTCAGACTTCAAGCTTCGCCTGCTTGCTGTGGGTGAGAAAGGAATGAAACGTATGAATTTGAGCATATTTCATACAGAGATGCAGGATTCTGCTCTTTACTACTGTGCCCTGCAGCCCACAGTGACAGGAAACACAGAAACACTCAACAAAAACAGAATGATTATAAATAAAAGAATAAAACAAACTTTACAACAAATTAAACAATACAGAATGACGTGAATCAACAGGCTGGAGAAAAAAAAAATATTCCTTTGAAGTTAATTTAATCAAACATAGTAAGGCATCAGGTTGTACAACAATTGCTTGTTGCTTGTGCACAACAGGATACAATTTTGGTATCAATTATACAAAATTGACAACACAAATAAAGGGGGAAATCCTAAATTAACTAGAGAGCTCCTTATATGTATAGAGAAAGAACATGTTAATCCTGATAACTTTATTTAAATGAATATAACTCATTAATATTTTGCATTTAGTAATCAAATTGGCCAATCAATTGAATCGTATAACTAAAATCATTCACAAACGTGCTAAAACGTGTTTTATTAACAAGTTAAACTACACAGGTTGATGGTTAAAGTACAAAAAAATATATTAGCAATAATAGGGCTGAACAATATATCGTTTGAGCATGGATATCGCAATATGTGTTTCTGCAACAGTCAAACGCAGGATTTGATTATTTATTAAGGATTTTAAAAAAATAGAGATATTATTAAATATTATTTTATATTAATGTATAATATTATTTATACAATGTTGACCATGTTTATTTTGTTTGATTGTTCAATTTCTATATTTCAATACTGTTAGACTCCCCAGAAAACCATAAAGCACTGTTTAATTCACTTTTAAGCAATTTATGTAAATGTCAACCTTGCCATGAAAAAAAACCAAACAGTTTCTGCGTTTTTGTGCAAGCGAGTATTGTACAGTGCTTTTACAAATATGTCTCCGTTAATGTTTTCAAGCAATCATATTTGATTTATCAAAATCACAAATGCCAATTTAACATCGGTCTCATCCATAACATATTTTTCCTCAAATGCGAAAAATGTCAAATAACATAAAACTAATTGTTTTTTTTCTACAGTGAGCCAACTACTATCCTTTAGATGAGCATTGTTTATTTTAGGTTGCACAGTTTAATTTACAGAATTTCTACAAAGTATATTGTATACTGTAAACTCGTTAACTTTTTGGTCACATCCATAACGCATGTTTATTTCCCTTTTTTAAAATAGAAAAAATCCTTACAGATTGATATATTTTTCTTCTCCCGCACCTCTGTTTAGGAAAATATAAACAGATGTTTCAATATAATGTCAACATAGACTTTCTCTGTGAATTGATGTTTTGAGATTTTACTGCAAATGTCACCTCCATAACGCTAGAATTGCTCTTATTTTTGCTCTATAGTTTTTAATTATGCTAGTAATTTATTATATTTTATGCAGATGCACTGCATAGAACATGGCTTGATGACCCCAGTTGATCTAGTTAATGAAATCTTTCCAACTAGAGGTGTTTAAATTATTCATTCATTATCTTCTGAACCCCAGACTTCCCTCTCCCCAGACATTTCCTCCAGGGAGATCCAGAGGCGTTCCCAGGCCAGCCGAGAGACATAGTCTCTGTGTGTTTAAATTATCTGGTAAAATTACATTCATATCGCAATATATATCACAGCAAAACAAAATATCACAAGGTCAGATTTTCCCAATATCGTGCAGCCCTAACTAGTAACAAAAAGGGTCTTTTTGCTTGTTTAATACTGAGGTGTTGTAGTAAATGTGATCTCACATGCATTCTGCCAGGAGGTGGAGCTCTAGGAACAATCAAGAACAACTAGTTCAACTGTTTAAATACAGAGCAGACTCATTGAGTCAGTTATACTCTTGGAGTGAAAGTTTTGACTCTCAAAGTCACGGTCTCGTATTGGTGATGATGTTGCTCCTGGTATTGACTATATTTTATCTTCTAAAAGGTGAGTAATTAGTCATTACAGTGGACATTATTTATACTGTTTGACAATCTAACATTAAGATCATCTTAATAAATAATAATAATAAATCATTGTTTGCTTTAAACAGAGAATGCTGGTGAAGAAGTGATAAGACCACTCTTCAAAGAGAAACATGTTCTGGAAGGAGATGTTGTTACACTGATCTGCAGCTACTCTGGAAGTGTTCAGAATCTGCAGTGGTACCATCAGTTTCCCGGATCTAAACCTGAAAATATATTTCTTTACTTTGAGAACAAGCCACAAACTGAGGGCCGCATGACCGCTGCATCTGATAAAGCAGTCAAACACATGAATCTGACCATCACTTCTACACAATTGACAGACTCTGCTGTGTACTTTTGTGCCCTGGTGCCCACAGTGACAGGAAACACAACTACACTGTACAAAAACTGCAAGAGCAATTATACTTATGTCAGAATATGAAACATTTAAAAATAAACTTTTAAAAGTTTGTCATGTCATGCAAACATTTACATTTCTTTAAGATATCAGAATCAGAAAGAGCTTTATTGCCATGCATGTTCACACATATGAGGAATTTGTTTTCGTGACAGAGCTCCTACAGTGCAACAGAATTACAGAGACAGGACAAAAACAGATAATAAATATATTTGAAAAATAGAAGCAAGTAGTAAATGCAAATATCCAAATTGACAAGTGTATGTACAGGTATATTACTATATATATTATATGTGCAGCTGTTATGTGCAAATTTGCAGGTAAAGTGTGTTGTTAAATAAGTGCATGTGTGTATAAAAAGTGTAAGTAGTGATGTCGGTTACACAATTATTATCATCATCATCAAGTCTTTATGAGATGGATTGCCTGAGGGAAGAAACTGTTTCTGTGTTGTGCTGTTCTGGTACGCAGTGTTCTGTAGCGTCTTACAGAAGGTAACAGTTTAAAGAGGCAGTGTGCTGGGTGTGAGAAGTCCAGAGTGATTTTGGCTGCCCTTCTGCTCGCTCTGGATAAGTACAGATATTGGTGATTAGGAAGAGTTGTACCAATGATTTGCTAAGAAGTCCGAACTATTCGATGTAGTCTTCGAAGGTCAGATTTGGTAGCTGAGCTAAACCAGACAGTTATTGACGTACAGAGGACTTATTCGATGATGGAGATGTAGAACTTTACTTTCAGCAGCTCCTTTGGGAGGTTGAACTTCCTCAGTTGATGAAGAAAGTACAGCCTTTGCTGAGCTTTTTTGATAATGGAGTCAATGTGAGTGTCCAACTTCAGGTCCTGAGAAATGGTGGTGCCCAAGAACCTGAATGACTCCACTACTCCCACAATGCTGTCCATGATGCTTAGTGGGGGGGAGAGCAAGGGGGTTTCTCCTGAAGTCCACTATCATCTCCACTGTTTTGAGCACGTTAAGCTCCAGGTTGTTGTGACTGCAACAGGCAGCCAGCTCCTTAATCTCCTGTCGGTAAGCAGACTCATCACTGTCCTGAATGAGGCCGATTAATGTGGTGTCTTCTGCAAACTTTAGGAGCTTGACAGAGGAGTCCTTTGAAGTGCAGTCATCTATGTACAGGGAGAAGAGCAGTGAGGAGATGACACACCCCTGGGGGGTGCCAGTGCTGATTGCGCGGGTACAGGATGAGAATTTTTGCAGCTTCACCAGCTGCTGCCTGTCCGTTAGGAAGCTGTTGATGCACTGACAGACAGAGGTGGGCACGGAGAGCAGAGTTCATTTTGGCAGGATGATAGTGTTAAGAGCCGAGCTGAAGTCAACAAACAAAATCTTCACATAGGTGCCTTGTCCGTCTAGGTGTTGCAGAACATAATGCAGTCTCATATTGACTGTATCATCCACAGACCTGTTTGCTCTGTAGGCAAACTGAAGAGAGTCCAGTGAGGGTGCAGTGATGTCCTTCAGGTGGGCCAGCACCAGTTTTTCAAAAAACTTAATGACCACAGATGTTAGCATCACCAGTCTGTAGTCATTTAGTCCTGTAAGTTTGGGCTTCTTTGGGATGGGGATGATGATGGGAGTGTTTAAGGCTGAAGGGCACTTCACAAAGCTCCAGTGATCTGTTAAAGATCAGGGTGAAGATGAGGGGCCAGTTGGTCAGCACAGGATTTTAAACAGGCTGGTGTTAAAAATGTGTTTATGATGGCGTGAAGAGCATTTCAGAGTGGGTGTGGGGGGTTTTCTCAAACTGGCAGTAAAACTCATTAAGGTCGAGTTACATGAACATAATGACATTAAATAATAATATATATGGTTATATTTGTAGACATGTCAAATTGGTTTATCCTGTTACTGTACAATAATTTTGGTGGTTTTAGTAAAAATTTAACAAAACGAATAATTGTTTACAATATACAGTAAACCAGACAGCCTCGGTTAAGCAGAGGTTTTGCCAGAAGGTGGAGCTCATATTTCAGTTCTCTCAAAACAGAGTGCACATGTAAACAGAGTCAGTGAGGAGGAAACTAATTCACAACTCTAAAGGCCTTTTAGTCTTGTGTTGATGATGTTGTCCATGGTGCTCCTATTATTTACTCTTTTTAAAGGTGAGTGATCTATGGGAGAATAGCACAGCTTTTTAGAAGCACTTATAAATCAACTGTTTATATGGTTTATAAACACATTTTTGATGGTTTATTTATATTTTTATTAGGGAATGCTGGTAAGGAAGTGATATCATCACTGTCCACAGAACAGATTGTTTTGGCTGGAAAAAATGCCACACTTTCCTGCAAATACAATAGCAATATTCGCAATTTGCAGTGGTATCGACAGTATCCCGGATCTAAACCAGAGAACATCATTTTTCACACTGAGAGCAACAATCAGTCTTACTCCAGGCTTCGTCTGCTCGCTGTGGCTGAAAAAGAAATCAAACGTATGAATTTGAGCATATTTCATACAGAGATGCAGGATTCTGCTCTTTACTACTGTGCCCTGGAGCCCACAGTGACAGGAAACACAGAAACACTGAACAAAAACTGAATGATTTCGATTATGATGCACAATGCAGAGGTTAAAGCCTGAACTTGTAAAAGTTAACACTTTATTTCTAAAAGCTAGTACTTCTAATGTTAAAAGTTGTAAACATATCTACAGTAGCTAGTGCTTGCTGATTCTCTGAGACATTAGCCCTTAGCAAGATCTCATAATACAGATACGAGAGGTAAACTAATACTTGAAACATTCAATATCTGCACAATTCCGCAGTACTAA